AAATAATCCAGGCTCCCTTGTTTTACACACAGACAACTGGGGTTTGGAGAATCTGATTTACCCAAGTTCACATTCTCAACAATGTAGGACCAGAACCTGGGTCTCCTAACTACAAGTTCTTTTCACTATACTTGATTCATATTTTTAAAGTCCCTTTTCACAGAAAAATACTTTCGAAGAGTTTATTAAAGGCATTGTTCAAGTAAACATTACTAGTTGACTGAAGAGTTCATTGAATATGGTTTAATGGCAGTTTTAAATGAAAAACAAGACTTTAGGAATGTGTTTATGGGGAAAACATTTTAGCTCAGGTCCATTTCAACTCATAGCACCTTTTTATTTTTCAAGATTATAACCAGCCACAAGTACATTTAAAACACAAGTAGATATAAGACAATATATATGTATAAATGTTCTTACTTATATTTATGATTTTCCCAACCAGAAACACAAATGAAATTGAGTTTGACGAGATTTTCACATATTGAAGTATATGGAGTAACTATTCATATCCAAGACTGATTCAGCTTGAACTAAAAAAGCCTGAGTTTGGCCTATCAAACATACATTGTGCATCTGCTTTAACTATTAAAGAATGGCTCTCAAGATAAGAATGCATACTTCCCCTCCTATGCCCTATTGGTAATGCCCATATTAGTCCCTTTCCCAACATCAGTGGCATGTTGACCTGCTAATTTGCAACTGAATACGTCTTTGAAACTTTCATGAATATGTATCCTGGGCATGTTTAATGTATGTTCTTTGTTCTAAAAATATATAAAATTGTACTGCAAACCATGCTTCTTCTGAATGCTTTCTTCCTTTATGGAAAAGGCCTTCCTGGGTGATAATACTCCGTTTGGCTCAAGTAAAACTCACCTTATCTCTTATCTATAGAATGGTTATTGATTATTTTTGCATAGACAAGTTTATAAAGGATTAACCATTGCAAGTCTTTCAGAAAAAATTAAGCAATATAATACAATCTCCAGGTGAAGTTTATTAAATGAAACATCTATTCATAGTAACAGAACTTTAGGGACCCCCCCCCCATCAGGTTGTAATTATTCCAAGATAATTAAACCAGGACTGGATTAATATTTATCTACATCAATGTAAGGTTGAGGAAAAAACTATTTAAGAAACTATTTTCAAGTACTTTATTAGTATTTTTGGCATAAACAATATAATTAAAATATCCATCTAATCAGTACACCTTTCAAGTCTTTTGTAAGTAATGCTGTAGATTTTTTCTGCAATTAATTTTCTTAGGATAGATTTCAAAACTAAAATTTCAGGATTCAAAATCTTGAACATTTTAAAGTTTGTAATGCATTGTGTTATTTTTTTAAAATGGGGTTATATTAATTTACCTAGTAATTATCAATGCGGAGTGCTATTTCATTGCCAAAATTGGGTCTCAGATTTTTTTTTTTTTTTGAGGAAGATTAGCCCTGAGATAACATCTGCTGCCAATCCTCCTCTTTTTGCTGAGGAAGGCTGGCCCTGAGCTAAAATCCGTTCCCATCTTCCTCTACTTTATATGTGGGACGCCTACCACATCATGGCTTGCCTAGCGGTGCCTGGTCCACACCTGGGATCCGAACTGGGAAACCCCGGGTCCCCGAAGCAGAACATGCGCACTTAACCACTGCACCACTGGGCCAGCCCCTCAGATTTTTTTATAAAACACTCCCTGTGGTTTTCATCTACATTTTAAAAAATACCATATGTTTCCTACCTAGATATATTTTACCTTTGAGAATAGAATGTTAATTATCTTTGCTTTATCAGAATTGCAGTATTTTGCTTACTTTTTATGTAGGAATAAAAAAGACTCTTATGAGGTAAACATAGTAATCCTCTGTCATTCTTTCTAGGTAGCATTCCCAGTCTGTAGTCTACCTTTTAATTTTGGTTAACTGTATTTTCATGTATAGATTAGAGCGTTAAATGCATCAATCTTTTCCTTTATAATTTCTTTTGTAACTTTTAAATTTATAATGTCTTCCTTTCTCAAGGGTTAAAATACCTTCCTCTGAATTTCTAGTTTTTCTAAAATGTGATTTTAAATCAGTATTTAATTAATTCATCTGAAATTTATTTTGATAATACTTGAAGGTGAAGACCTACATTTTAAAAAATAACTAGCCAATTTCCCAACATTACTGAGCTGGTTTCCTAGGTTTTTGTCTTTTATATAATAAAATGTAAGCTCTAGGAACTTTATATTGTTCATCGCCGTATTCTCAGTATCTAACAACACCTGGCACACAGTAGATACTCTCAGTAAGTATTTGTTGAATGAGTGAATGATTGATATATAAGGTCTATATAGTTTGATCCATTTGAATTCTTTCATCTTCATTATTGAAGGTTGATGTTCTTTATAGACTTGACTTTACTAAGGACAAAGCACATTATATGCATATGCTAGAAAGCTATATGCACTTCTGTATCCATTCTTTTTAATACCTTGCTTCCTCTCTCCCCAAATAGCCAAATTGCTTATATTTTATGTATTTACTAAATTTATTTTATGTATATATATAAATTTAATTTACATGTTAAACTGTAGTTAATGGCACCACCATCTACCCATATGTTTGTCCAGAAACGTAGGGTCTTCTTTGATCTGTCCCTATTTCTCACCACTCACATCCAATCAATCACCAGGTCCTGTGAATTCTACTTCCAAAATATGTTTCAAATGTGTTTACTTGACTCTCTTTGCCATCACCCTACTATAAATCATCATCCGTCACATGGACTACTATAGCTCCTCTCCACATCCATTCAAGGCCCTGACAGCAGCCAAAGTAATCTCCCTAAAAGTGATGTCAGTAAGACCCTGCAGAATCCAGCCCCTGCCTCTAGTCTCATCTCAAGCCATTTTCACTCTAACTAGACTTTGGCCACACTGACTTTTTCTTTGTTCCCAACTCTATCTTTTCCTTTGAAGTCTTCCAGTCTTAGATTCAATGACACTTCACCAGACTGGTCTTCCTTAGCCCCTCACACTAGGTTAGAATCCCCTATATGTCTTCATAAATATCTTGTATTTTTTTCTTGATAACACTTAGTACAATCGTAATTATTCAGTTAGTTATGTAATTGTTTGCTTAGTGGCTATCCCCTACAGGGCTAAGATCCCTGAATGTTTGTCTTGTTTCCTTGTCACTCTAAAATTCAGCTGTACATCTCTTCTAACTACGACTTATTGCAGATTTCTCTATGATTTATAAATGTTTTTATAAATTCTCATAGTTCCAGTATAAGGTTTTAAAAAGCTATCTCACACATACTTTTGATTAGTTTGCTCTGTATAGATGTATGTCATTTATCTCAAGAGAATAGGATTCCTGAAAAACGGACTGGATGGGGCTAAGTTTTTTGTTTTCTTTTGGTTTTCCAGTTTTATTATTTATTGAGAAATAATTGACATACAGCATTGTGTAAGTTTAAGGTGTACAATGTGATGATTAGATCTAAGTATATATTGTAAAATGATTACCACAATAAGGTTAACGCATACATTACCTCACATAATTACAATTTTTTTGTGTGTGGTGAGAACATTTAAAATCCACTCTTTTAGCAACTTTCAAGTATACAATACAGTATTGTTAACTATAGTTACCACACTGTACATTACATCCTCAGAACTTCTTATAATTGGAAGTCTGTACCCTTTGACCATCATCTCTCCATTTCACCCACCCCCTAGATCCTGGCAACCACCATTCTACCATTTCTATGAATTTGGCTTTTTTTCCCTTTTTTTTTAGATTCTATATATATGTGAGATCATACAGTATTTGTCTTTCTCTGTCTGACTTATTTCACTTAGTATGGGCCTCAAGGTCCATCCATGTTGTCACAAATGGCAGGATTTCCTTCTTTTTTATAGCTGAATATATTCCATTTTGTATATACATATATGTGTGTGTATATATATATACACATCTTTATCCATCCATCCACGAATGAACACTTAGGTTGTTTCCATATCTTAGCTATTCTGAATAATACTGCAATGAACATGGGAGTGCAGACATGTCTTCGAGATAGTGATTTCATTTCCTTTGGATATATACCCAGAAATGGAACTGGTGGGTCATATGGTAGTTCTATTTTTAACTTTGTGAGGAACTTCCATACTGTTGTCCATAGTGGCTGTACCAATTTACATTCCCAACAAGGGTCCTTAAGGGTTCCCTTTTCTCGGCAGCCTCCCTGACAGTTATCTCTTGACTTTTTGATAATAACCATTCTACAGGTGTGAGGTGATAGCTCCCTGTGATTTAGATTTGCGTTTCCCTGATGATTAGTGTTACTGAGCACCTTTTCATGTACCTATGGCCCATTTGTATGTCTTCTTTGGGAAAATGTCTGTTCAGATCTTCTGCCCAGTATTTAATTGGAATTTTTGTTTTGCTATTGAGTTATGAGTTCTTCCGATATTTTTGATGTTAACCACTTATCTGATATATAGTTTGCAAATATTTTCTCCCATTCCATAGGTTGCCTCTTCATTCTGTTGTTTCTTAAGCTCTGCAGAAGCTTTTCAGTTTGATGTAGTCACATTTGTTGATTTTTGTTTCTTCTAGGAATTTTTTTTTTTTTTTTTATTTTTTTTCCTTTTTCTCCCCACAGCCCCCCGGTACACAGTTGTATATTCTTCATTGTGGGTCCTTCTAGTTGTGGCATGTGGGACGCTGCCTCAGCATGGTTTGATGAGCAGTGCCATGTCAGCGCCCGGGATTCCAACCAATGAAACCCTGGGCTGCCTGCAGCAGAGCGCGAGAACTTAAGCACTCGGCCACGGGGCCAGCCCCTCTTCTAGGAATTTTACAGTTTCAGGTCTTACCTTTAAGTCTTTAATACATTTTAAGTTAATTTTTGTGAGTAGTGTATGACAGGCTTGGGGCTAGGTTTAAATCATTATGTTTTTTTCAGAACTTTATAATTGAGAATGATTTTATGTGTTTATATTTTAGGATAAGAAAAGTAATTCAGCTTCAAATTCAGACACAGAAATGAAAGCTGAACAACTGCCTCCTTGTGTGAACCCCGGCAACCCTGTGTTTTCATGTATGTTGGACCCAAAGACACTCCATACGGCTACCTCCCTATCAAAACCTACGATGATTATGTATAAAACCAATTCAGGTAGTTATGGTGAATTCTTACCTATGCCACAGTTTTGTCCTTGCATTTATAGTCCAAAGGAGCAAGTATTTTCAAGCCATATCAGAGCTACGGGATTTTATCAAAATAACACTCTGAACACTGCACCTGACAGAACCAGAACCCTTGATTTTCCTAATTTTCAACATACTCTATGAATATGTTCCTTTGTGTATTTAAGAGAGAATATACTCAGCAAAAATGAGTTTGAAATCTAAGGCTAGAATACCTAATTTGAAATATAAAATGACTTAATTTTTTAAAATACCTTAACGAAATAAAGCCTTTCAACTGATAACTGAATGACAGTGACTTCTTAAATAAAATGTGTTCAAGGGCCTGGCCCTGTCACGTAGTGGTTAAGTTTGGTGTACTCGATTCGGTGGTCTGGGTTCACAGTTTCAGATCCCAAGCGCAGACCTACACCACTCGTCAGCCATGCTGTGGTGGTGAGCCACATATAAAGAGGAGGAAGATTGGCACAGATGTTAGCTCAGGGCTAACCTTCCTCAGCAAAAAAAAAAAAAAAAAAGTGTTCAAAATAGCAAAATAAAAGCTGGAAAGCATTTTAGTACATTTTATCTTTCTTTAGTATGTGTACTCCAAAAGCTTCAAAAGGCTGTCAGGATCTCAGTTGTCTACCGAGTAGATTTATCAAAACAAAGGAACACAGGAGCTCTAAGAAAAAAGTTGAATTAAGGAAGATTCTGACCAGTAATTTCCCACTTTTCTGTATTTCAACTAATGGCTTAGACCGTTAGTTCTGGGGGAATGTTAGTTCCCACTGCTAGGCTGGTGGAAGATAGGACATTATTCATTCATTCATTTAGCAATGAATGGCAGGCACTATGCTATAAAAATGGAACACAAATAAAAGATAGTTCTTTTATGGTTTCAGTGAACAATATTTTGGGGGAAATGAGATTAGCAACTTAATAACAAGTGATAGTTTATGTAACGTAAAGTATACAGACACAGAGACAGAATTGCTCAAATTGAGACCAAGAAGATCAGGGTAAATAACCTGGAGAAGGTAAAACCAAATCAAAGGAAAGTCAGTCCAAGGAGAAGAAATGATAAGTATAAAAGTGCAAAGATGTGAGAAAATGTGGTATATTTTTATAAATGCAATTAATGTGATATCTTTTTTTTTGAGGAAGATTAGCCCTGAGGTACCATCTGTCACCAATCCACCTCTTTTTTGCTAAGAAAGACTGGCCCTGAGCTAACATCTGTGCCCATCTTCCTCTACTTTATAGGTGGGGACGCCTGTCACAGCATGGCTTGACAGGTGGTGCTAGGTCCGCACCTGGGATCCAAACCAGTGAACCCAGAGCCGCTAAAGCGGAATGTGTGAACTTAACCACTGCGCCACTGGGCTGGCCCCTGATATATCTTTAACATAGAATGTGAGCAGTGGTGGATGATAAGCTATACAATTCTTCAAAGTCTGTAATTCCACTGTATATACAGATTTATTTCAGTTGCCAGCTGTTGAAACCACCCATTCACTTGGGTCTGGGTACCTCACTGAAAAAAAAATCACTGTTCTTATTTTTCCTTATTGGTTTCAGGTTCAGGATATTAATGTTAATTAGAAATAATTTTGTGAGTCACTAGGAGATCAGAAAAGTTGGATCTTTGAGCGGGCCCAGTGGCATAGTGGTTAAGTTCACACACTCCACTTCAGCGGCCTGGAGTTTGCAGGTTAGGATCCCAGGCACTGACCTATGCACTGCTTATTAAGCCATGCTGTGGTAGGCGTCCCACATATAAAGTAGAGGAAGACGGGCACGATGGTAGCTCAGAGCTAATCTTCCTCACCCCCCCAAAAAAAAAAAAAAGATTAAAATGGCAAATTAAAAGTTAAAAAAAAAGTTGGATCTTCTATTTACAAAAACAGCTTGATGTGTGGAAATAGCTCAAACTCTACACTCTCATGAAATTCTTCCAAAAAGCCCAAAATGTGGTATTTGCTAATGGCACAAGCAAGAAGAAAAATTAGTTTTGTTTACTTCCTCTAAAACATCAAAAATCAAGGCACTGCACAAGATTTCCAGGTGAGTAATCAACAGAATTTGAGTTTCCTAGCCTTTTCCCCACGTAAACTGTACAAACCATTATTCCCCTCTGCTGTAGGTGCTCATTTTGTGGCAAGAGAAGTCAACTTTTTAATATGTAGACTCTAGACATTAATCTAAAGTTTCTTACTATGGCAGGTGGTTAAGCCCTTTTTTGTTGTTGTTGCTAAAATTCTTAGATAGGATGAATATCTCAGAATAAGGTATGTTGTCTGGAATGCCCCTACGTAGTCATTCAGTGCCTATTAAAGTCCAGGGACAATTCTAGGGAACTTTACAGTTTCAGGTCTTACCTTTAAGTCTTTAATACATTTTAAGTTAATTTTTGTGAGTAGTGTATGACAGGCTTGGGGCTAGGTTTAAATAATTATGTTTTTTTCAGAACTTTATAATTGAGAATGATTTTATGTGTTTATATTTTAGGATACATACAGCTTAGATTCTAGTAAATTCTATTAGGGAAAAACAGATCCAAAATAATATATAAATATGTATATGTAAAATATGTATACATATTTACATGTAAACACTTACATGAGTATATATATAATATTTAAGTATTTATGTTACATGTTACATACATATACAGGCATACCTCGTTTTATTGCCCTTCACAGATACTGTGGTTTTTTGTTTTTTGTTTTCCTTTTTCTCCCCAAAGCCCCCCTGTACACAGTTGTATATTTTTAGTTGTGGGTCCTTCTAGTTGTGGCATGTGGGACGCCACCTCAGCATGGCTTGATGAGCAGTGCCATGTCCGTGCCCAGGATCCGAACCCAGGAAATCCTGGGCCACCGAAGCACAGCACGCCAACTTAACCACTCAGCCACAGGGCAGCCAAACTTTTTTTTTTTGAGGAAGATTATCCCTGAGCTAACATCTGCTTCCAATCCTCCTCTTTTTTGCTGAGGAAGACTGGCCCTGAGCTAACATCCATGCCCATCTTCCTCTACTTTATATGCAGGACGCCTGCCACAGCTTGGCTTGGCAAGCAGTGCGTAGGTCTGCACCTGGGATCTGAACCAGCGAACCCTGGGCCACAGATCGGAATGTGTGAACTTAACCGCTGTGCCAGGGGGCCGGCACCAGATACTGCATTTTTTAATAAGACCCTCCAACCAGCAAAAAGATTACGACTTGCTGAAGGCTTAGATGATGGTTAGCATTTTTCAACAACACTAAAGTATTTTTGAATTAAGGTATGTAATTGTTTTTTTAGACATAAGCTATTGCACGCTTAATAGACTACAGTATAGTGTAAACATAAATTTTATATGCACTGGGAAACCAAAAAATTTGTGTGACTCGCTTTATTGTGATACTCCCTTATTGCAGTGGTCTGGAACCAAACCTGCAATATCTCAGAGATATGCCTGTAGACATACATAAATATTTACATGTAAATATTATATGTCTATATATATATAAATCATGCCAGGTGATAAGTGTTATGGGAAAAAACTAAAATAGGGTTGGGGGAGAAAGAGGCTTGGGCAAGGAGTTATTTTAGGTGGGGAAGGTCTCAGATAAGTTGATGTTTGACCACACTCCTGAAGGAAGTGAAGGAAATATCTGGGGAAAATCAAGCTGTTGTAAGGCAAATGAATATCAAGTCTGGAGTTCATGGGAGAAGCCTAAACTGAGTATAATCAATTTAAACAACATCCACACAAAGATATTATTTAAAATCATAACACCAGATAAGACTACACTTAAAGAACAAAAATTCAACCAAGTAAATTTAAAGATC